GCACTAAGAAGTAAGGGGAGTACAGCCCCCTGGTGGCGTCCTGCGGGTCTACCTCCACTGCTGCGTCTCGACTCAGCAGAGAGGAGACCTCCGCTTGTAGTGCCTCTGTCGATCCCCGTACCTGAGAGCGTACTGCCCGTACGCCTCGGAATGGTGGTGGCTTTCGGAAAAATTGCAGCGCGTAACCTCTGCGCAGAGTTTTCTCCAGCCAAATATCTGTCAGTAGGCCCTGCTCTCTCCAGATGCTGTAGAAATCTGTGAGGGGCGGAACGGGAGTTGGAACACGAGACGTCACGGCCCCGCCCTCTCCTGGTGTTCCTAGCAGGGAGGGGGGGTGGCTGAAAGGGCCGGGGGGGGCCCTGCGTTACACCGTGAGCGCCGAGGGCGGTCACGTGTTCTGCAGGCCCGACGTCATAAGTACGGGACTGCTCACCACACGTGACCCGGCTGCTGTGCCCCCCCCTGGCTCTTGCCTCATGGAGGGGGGGGCGAGCCCCTGGAGTGGGAAACCCCGTGTTAGCCTTGTAGCTCTGCTCACCACACGTGACACGGCTGCTGTGCCCCCCCTTGGCTCTTGCCTCATGGAGGGGGAGACGGAGCCCCTGGAGTGGGAAACCCCGTGTTAGCCTTGTAGCTCAGAGATGCTAACACGCGTTCGGCTGGAGCACACACATTATCACTTACCAGATCCCTCCGCCTGCCCTCTCTCCGGGAGGGCAAAACATGAACCCGTGAATCGTAGCCCGTGGCCCGCATAGCACGCTGCACGCCCTTATCTGGGGGCTGCAGGCCTAGCGGAGCCACGTTATATCCTCGAGAAGTAACACAATCAGAATTCAAATCATTTGACATGTTACATACCCCCAAATGAGACTCAGACAGCGAGTACTGATGAAATGCCGCACGGCTTTTATTGAAAGAATTCTTCCCACCCCGACCTCCTCTGCCATAGGGAGGTCGTCGGTGGGTGCGTTGGTCCCGCGAGCCTCCCGTGTGCCTGTCTGGGCCCGGGGGCCTCGTCGCTGGGGAACGATGAACCACGGAGCGTGGATATGGTCCGGGGCGCCTGCCGGGCGAGCGCTCCCTGCCTCTGTCTCGGCTCCGCACTGGTGGGCGGGCCTCGCGTCTCGCAGCTAGATGCTGGGCTAGGCTAGCAGAGTCCTTGGCTGCGGTGTCCAGCCTAGTTATCAGCGTCTGCATCTCCGGACCGAAGAGTGACGTTTGGGAGATGGGCAGGTCCAGCAGCTGCCTCTTCTCCGCCTCTCTGAGGTTCACCGGCCCCAGCCAGAGGTGTCTGGCCCCCACTTGTGCTGCTGCCATCGTGCGGCCGCCATCGACAGCTAGCGCCTGGCACATGCGCAAGATCGCTGCTGAAGTGGTCCTCGCCTGAGATAAGGTGTCTCCACTGAGCGCCTGGCCAGAAGAGAGAGACCTATCCAGGGCCCCGGTGATGAAGGCCATTTTGTTAGCCACCGCGACGACCTGAGCCGCATTGGCGTAACATCTATCGTGCATCGCCAAAGACATCCTATCCCGCTCGGAGGGAAGGAGAGGTCTAGTGCCGGGCCACACGGATGCGGAGGGGTGCAGGGCCGCTCGAACCGAGTCCTCGATGTCCGGGACCCCGCCGGTCCAGGACCAGTCCTGCACGTTACAATACATGCCGTACCCCAAAGCGGGCCTCTTGGCCGCTAGGGGCTTTGGCCACTCACGTGTCGCGTAATGGACGATCGGGTCCATACGCGGGCACAACGTGGGCTGCGCTCTCCTCCTCCCTCGAGTGGTGGCGTAACCAGAGGTGAAGTCCTCCACCCTCTGGTTCGGTTGCGGTGGCAGGGGGGCATCCATGATGGCCGCCGCCGTGGAGTAGAGCCCAGGCATGTGGTCCAGCGGGAAGCGGTCCGGCTCCGGGTTGGACACCACCTCGTCCAGCGTGAGGAGAGAGCCGACCTCCGACACCTCTCCGTCCTCGCAGTCACCCCACTCCGCGGGCACGGGTGGGAGGTCGAGGGGGGCCCAGTCAGTCACAGACTCCTCGTCCTGAGAGGAGTCCGGACGGGGCGCTGTAGCGGCGAAGAACGCGCACCTGCGTTCACTCTCCTCCCTGGGGAGAGCGAGACACGAGGCGCAGGTGGCGCTCAACGCCGCATGGCCCGAACCCAGGCACACGAAGCAGCTGGAGTGCTGGTCCTTGCGCTGGAGCTTGACCCGACAAGTCGAGCAACGACGACGTCCGACGCCGGATGGCGAAGGGGAACTCGGACGAGCATCAGAAGACATCTTTCCTCAGGTAAATTGAAATGTAGATCTCAATCGGCGCCAGAGTGAAAAAGGGGGTACGTCCTTGTGCAGGGGCATTTATAGAGGAAGGTGGCTGGTGATTGGAGCAAATTATTTTGATCTTTCTGGCGCGTGACCTGGGGGTCACGAGTGATATCCCACTAGCGAAGTCCTAAGGGACGTAGCACCATGACGTAGAACCAGAATTTCTCTTGGGCAAGTACAAATCGTACGAGTCCTCAGGAGCACTCGTACGCATTCAGTGCCGACATGTTCACACGCCGGGGTTGTCCTCTTTGGTGAAGTTGAATAAAAATACAACATTCCAGTGATATGTCCGTCATATCGATGTATGTATTTATTTATTTGTAGTAATCTTTATTAGTAATCTTTATTTATATACCGTCTTTTTCGCTGCAGATCTGGCCTACTTTTTAATTCATTTTGAAATGAAATGTGCCAACGCTTTATCAAATACATTGGAAATCTTGCCGTGTATTAGTGACCCCTTCCTATTTATAGGGGGCATTTCTTTATCCACGGGCCACAGAACAACGGCATATATACTGCTGCTGCAGGAGGTTACTGGGTCCGCGCTGAGTCTCTGCACTGGTCTCTCCTATGGATCTATACGGGTCTGCACTGGTCTCTCCCATAGATCTATACGGGTCTGCACTGGTCTCTCCCATGGATCTATACGGGTCTGCACTGGTCTCTCCCATGGATCTATACGGGTCTGCACTGGTCTCTCCCATGGATCTATACTGGTCTGCACTGGTCTCTCCCATGGATCTATACTGGTCTGCACTGGTCTCTCCCATGGATCTAGACGGGTCTGCACTGGTCTCTCCCATATACGGGTCTGCACTGGTCTCTCTCCATACGGGTCCGTGCTGCATGCTCCTGGATCCATACGGGTCCGCGCTGGTCTCTCAAGTCTGGTCTATGCGGTCTATCTTCGGTCCGTGCTGGTCTCTGCGCACCGGTCTCTCCAGTCAGGTCACTCCAGTCTATGCGGTCTCTCCTATAGGTCCGCGCTGGTTTCTCTGTGCTGGTCACTCCAGTCTCTCCTCGGGTCTGCATTGGTCTCAGCGCTGGTCCGCGCTGGATCTCCTCCCAGGGTCCAAAATATTTTGAGATTAATCTCAAAACATTTTGAGATTCATCTTTAAAATAATACATAATATATTTTTAAATTAAGCTCATAACATTTTGAGATTAATCTCATCATATTCTTAGATTAATCTCATAATTTTGCTAGTTCGACTTTATTATCATAATATTTCGACTTTTAAGTCAACATTTTATAACTTTATTCTCAGTCTGGTAAAAGAAGAAAAAAGGGTGAGTCTTTTGCTCCGTGGCCTGTTGCTTTAGGCCTGTTGCTGTTTCCTCTGCCGTCTGCACACGGCCCTGCAGTCCCTTATATGGGCATTAGTGGGCGGTTACTTATGCTAAGTACCTATGCTAATGAAGCACCTGGCACGCGCGCTGTACTTACGAGGAAATGGGATTCATCAATCTGAGAGAACAGCTGCGAACAATTCAGCGCCTTACGAGTGCGTTGATGAATCCCACGTGGGGACTTCTTAGAAATCTACTTAAGGACAACTTGAGAAGAAAGTTGAGTAGTTTCTTACGAAGTTATTCGTGAATGAGGCCCCTTGTGTTTATCAGAAGAGACTTACCGAGTGCGTGTGTAATCCAGAATGAATGGAGAAAGCCGGCTCTCTCTGTTTGAGAGCAGCACCCACAAAGTTTTCCCCATAGTACTTGGATGGGAGACCGCCTGGGAATACCAGGTGCTGTAAGCATTTTGCCCCTGGAGCTCGGGCCTGGGGGCGAGCTCAACAACAGCGCGAGTTGTTGTCGTGTAGTTGAGTTGAGTTGAGTGCAGCTTGCAGTTTCCGTCTCTCACCACTCATCATTTCCGGTAGCATATCAAACAAAATAATGGAAGTTGTTTTAGTAGTGTTTGTTTCCACTGCATAACAAAGAAATGGGTGAATATTTCATTTAGAATGTTTTGATTTTCCAATTTGATTTAGAAAAGGAAAATAACAATAAACGAATGGAAAATTTGTTTTTCTGATTTTTTTTTGAAACGGAATAACTAATGATCGAAGGGTACACGGATTGAAGGGTACACGGATTGGATTGAAACAATTATTCATTTTTTTTTTTTTTTCATTTTCTGCATCAAAACAAAAAATCAAATATCAAGCCATGTTTTTGTTTTTTCCTATTCCTCATTAAAATGAAATGAAAATTCAAGCCATTTTTTGATATTTAATTTTTTATTTTAATTTGAAAACCTTGAACAAAAAATACATGGACCTTGTAAGATTTGCACATCTTGAGATTGGATTGAAACCATTATTCATTTTTTTTTTTTTTTCATTTTCTGCATCGAAACAAAAAATCAAATATCAAGCCATGTTTTCGTTTTTTCCTATTCCTCATTAAAATGAAATGAAAATTCAAGCCATTTTTTGATATTTAATTTTTGATTTTAATTTGAAAAACTTGAACAAAAATACACGGACCTTGTAAGATTTGCACATCTTGAGACAGTTAGCTCATTCCTCTTTACAAAACAACTCAAGCTCTGTCAAATAAGATGGAGTGTTTGTGAATGAAACACTTATTTTCTGTCTCTGATTTTACGTGGTCCCAGCATACCCAGGTTTTGGACTCTGCGTTGTGTTCTTTGGGAGTGAATGGCCGAGGTTGTGGTGCGAGGTGTAGCACAGCAGACACATACAGTGCAGATTTATAATGTTGTTTCCCATGGAATTAACGGGTAGAACAAAGTGGGATAATTAGTAATTATCTATTACAACATCCACATAACATCCATAATAACAGAATCATGTCACATTTTGCTTTCACTTCACAGTTGTCAGTTTCTTGTGTGTGAACTTTCAGTAAAACATTAAATAGTAAATCCTCATGTTTTTGGATGTAAAAATGACATAATGTGCAAATAATGCATGTGCATATGTGTGTATTGTTGCAGATGGTGGTGAGCTGCATCGGGTGGCAGTAGTGTCTCAGAATGCTACTCTACTGCAGGAGATTCCACTGTTCAGTCCTCCAGAGCCTCTCACCAACCTGCTTCTGTATCAGGTAACCCCCCCAAACAACCTGCTGCAGCATCATCTCATTGTTGGATTTTTGCACACTTGTGAAAAAGTGCCCAGTAAGTATTTTAGTCTTTGAGCTGAGAGCTAAATTGCTGAGTGAGGGTGGGTCTCTCTTTTTTACTTTTCTGTCCAAAATTACATGCCTTTGAACCCTAGATATAGAACCAAGCCGTTTTAGACTCACAAACTAGAGACATGAATTGTGTTACATCGTTTTGTTGTTGTTCCAGGGCCGTGTGTTGGTGGGCGGCTCGCGGTCCCTTGCTCTGGTCCCGGCTCAGGGCTGCTCTCTCTTCCACAGCTGTCAGGTTTGTGCCCGGGCACGTGGCCTGGGCTGTGAATGGATCTCCTCCCAGAGCAGCTGTATGTCCACCAGAGACCTGTGAGTACTTTAATGTCATCCATTATGCGATCGTAGGTTTTAACCAACATATACTTGATGTTGCATCAACAGCAGAGTAGAAATGTAGGATCCTGAGAAAATTATGTCCAATAACAACCGTAGAGGGCCCAGAGAATTATTCACTTTTAGTAGATTATCTAATATGCCAAAATCAAGTTCATATGCAATTTGCAATTTTTCCAATCGTGCTTGTTTTAAAGTACATTTGCAAATTTATATTACAAATTATATTATCAAACAGAATGTACAAAATTTACTTATTTGAGCTTTTATTCCTTCATCAGTCAAAGACCTGGAGTTGTTATCAGATCTCAATATCAGATGTCAATATCAAGAAAGTCTGGCATAAGATAAACGATCCTTTGTTTGTCCCACAGTGAGCAAATTTCGATGTTGCAGCGCACATACAGGACAGTAGTAAGAGCACACTGGGAGCACACAAAAATATTCAAGAAGTAGCTCTGTTTAAATGCTGTAAATGCTTCAAAAAATATATATGTATACCAGGGGCGTGCGGCGAGCTTTGTGATTGGGGAGGCACTGACTTTAAAAGCCATATTTACCATCATTATTCTAATAAAATAGCATTAAATCGCCATGCAAAAACGTCCACAAACATTATATACTGTAAAGGTTAGAGAACCAGCATATATAAAATCCCACAACATCTCTCCGCTCAGCATCAAACCAAGTCTTTGCGAAGCACAGGTGCGAGAGACAGGAGAGAGAGAGAGAGATGCAAGGAGCGAGAGAGACACAAAGAGCAAGAGAGAGACGCAAAGAGCGAGAGAGAGAGACGCAAGGAGCGAGAGATGCGAGGAGAGAGAGAAAGGGAGAGACGCTAGGAGAGAGAGAGAGAGAAACACAAGGAACACAAACAAGAATTAAACAAGTTACAGAACTATTGAGCAGTGTTTAAATCAGTGTTTTTCGGGGAAGCACTTTATGCAGCTATCTAGTAAATTTTCAATAGAAAACACAGACACTCCTTCCCCGCGGCCGGACTAACCTCGTAAGTCCTTCTGTCTATATTACTTCTTGCTTTGATTGAAAGTCGAGTTGAGAAACAAATCCTCAATCCAATCATCCATTTTCCAGCAAAAGAAATAGGACCGACAGGACTGATTGTTGGTTAGCAAAATATTTGCAGTCTGTGTTAGCAACTCGGGTCTGAACTTCATGCTCACTATCACCCCTAGCGGTGAGGCAGAGACACTGCCTGCCTCATGCCACGCTTTTTCGTTGTGTATTCTACTCCGATCAAAAGACTTACACTAAATATAGATAGTACACACATACGTGCAATATATCACTAAACACTATGACAAGTTTAACAAATGTTTTCAAAGCAGAATATTTGAAACAAGCAGCGATACATCAACAGCACGAGCTGAGTGCACTCGCACAGACCACTGTGAGGGAGCGATCTGGGGTGAGGCACGCAGGAGCTCTGACTCATCTCGTCTCTTTGAATAGGAAAAATAGGATTTCAGCGATTTTGACTACAGAAATGATCAAAACGGGTCGGAACCATGCCGAAAATACATTAAAAGCATAGGACAGTGGAAAACAATTATATATTTCAACTAAAGTTATTATTTTTTCAATGATGGCAGGTGAGACTCTGCCTACCCTGACTGCACGCCGCTGATGTATACATATATATGTAGTAGTGCAGAGTTAGATACTGTATAAACATGTATCTCGGCTCCTTCTGTCTAAAGCTGTTTTCCAACCGCCGATGCATGGACGTGCGTTGATGGAGGCATGGACGCACATTCACTTCATTTCAGCCGCATGAGTCTAGTCAATCTGTTGTTTTGACCTGAAGTGGTGGACGGGATTTGATGCTCACGAGTTTAATAACCAGTACCTCCGTATCGGCGAACACGTTAGCAGCACTTGTTTAGAGTGACAGTAGAAGGTCAACCCGAGGTGAAGACATATGTCAGCCCATTGTCAGCCCTGTTTTAATCCTGGTTTAGCTCATGTTTCGAGTGTTTTCGACTGTCTTCATCTTGATGACAAAGATAGTGGTCTTTGACATCAAGGTGCACGCATGATCCAGTGGGAACACCGCTTGAAAGCACCTGGGTCAGTCTGATCTAATTTTACCATTAAGCCTTCACACTTTGCTTAGGGCTGTCAAACGATAAAATGTTTTAATCAAGTTAACTACAGCTTAAAATGTATTCATCGTAATTAATCGCATTTTGAACTATTGACAAAATGATGCAATATTTTTCTGTAAATGGTTGTTTGAATGGAAAGTATGTACTGTATTTGTTTATTGTAACAAATACAGTACATATGTACTGTATTTGTTGTGACTCAGACCAAAAATATTGTTTGTTACAGATGAGGGACATTTTAAAACAGTCTGAAATGCAGAATGTCATTAAATCTGTTTGATTAGCTCACACCATTACTTTTGGGCACAACCAACATGAACTGGTAGTGGAAGGAAGAAATAGGTTATCCAGCTTTAATTTAGCGAGTGCGCTTCGGGAGATGACACGGAGGAGACTGAGGCTCCATTGTCCAGCTTCTGCGCTGTATTTTTTGTGTGCACCGGTTACGCAAAGACACGCACATTACAAGCAGGGAATAGTTCTGTGCGTTTACTGTATGGTCTTGGATATGATCATGTGACGCCGGCGCCGTTCGGCGTGATCACAGCCGCGAGAGGTGGGACTGCTGTCCAGAGCGCCAGCCGCTCAGCTTGCAGAGTTCATGCAGGAAACAGCAGCAAGTGCCTCTCGGTCACGTGTGTATTCTTTTAAAACTTGGATTCCCAGAGGGCCTACCTACTCTGTTGCCATCTCACCCACACACGTGTCCACGGCATTCTGAGTGTTATTATGGGATGCATGGGCATGCGTCAATTGCATTAAAAAAATTAACGCGATTATTGGAACAAATTTAATAACGTGCGTTAACGCAATAATTTTGACAGCCCTACTTTTAATACAAAAGTATTGCCCATAAAATAGTTTTGGGATTTTGGGATCCAATGTGCGCAGACAGACTTGTACTTTTGAGAACACCTTTATTTATTCATATTATTCCTTGCACTACAGCTGTATGACCAGCACTGTGTGGGGAGTGAATAATGCTGTGCAGCCTTAAGGCGTCATGAACAGCAATATTAGTTAATTGCGTGCATCTGTGTTTCACTGATAATCAGCTTCAACAATAACAGCCACCTCTTGGAAGCACTGTAACAAACAAGGTTACTTTCATCATTATAACAAATCCACGGACACCGAACACTGGTGTCATGGTAACGGCCGGTCTTGCGTAACGACCCCTACCAATCAGGTGGGAACATTGGGCCTCAATCACGAACCGTTCTTAAGAACAATTTTGTACGTAAATTCTACTTACCACAATTTTACGAAGATTGTGTCATTCATGAATTTTTCTGGTATCCAGAATTCCTCTTGGGTAAGGAGTGCTCAGGAGTACTCTCAAGCGGTGCTGGTGTTGTCTTCTTTTGTCAAGTTCAATAAAACACAACATTACAGTGATATGTCCGTCATATTGAGGTATGTATTTATTCATTTCATTGTTTATGGTAATTTAGCAAATTTTTTATTCATTTTTAAACTAAATGTGCCAACGCTTTATCAAATACATTGGAAAGCATGCCGTCTATTAGTGACTTCATCCTATTTATGGGGGCATTTCTTTATCCACGGGCCACAAAACAATGGCATATATACTGCTGCTGCAGGAGGTTGTGGGGTCCGCGCTGGTCTGTCCCATGGATCTTTACGGGTCCGCGCTGGTCTCTCCCATGGAACTATTAGGGGTCCGCGCTGGTCTCTCCTCATGTTCGCAGTGGTTTTCTGCGTGCTGGTCTCTCCAGTCTATGGTCTCTCCTCGGGTCTGCATTGGTCTCAGCGCTAGTCCGTGCTGGATCTCCTCCCAGGGTCAAAAATATTTGTGAGATTAATCTCACAACATTTTTAGATTAATATTTAAATTAATACATAATATATTTATAAATTAATCATTAATCATTTTGAGATTAATCTCATATTATTTATAGATTAATCTCATAATACTTATAGATTAATCTCATACTTTTCAACGAGCGCGTTGATGAATCCCACGTAGGGTCTTCTTAGAAATCTACTTAAGAACAACTTGTTCCATTGTTTTTGCGTCCTTTAACAACTATATCCCCTGCCCCAGGCCCCAAGCTGGAGACATGGTTGACCAAGCCCTCCGCAGGTGTGACGCCCAAGAAGGTGAGACGTGTTTACAGTCGTAAGTCAGGTCCATACATCTAAGAACATTAATGCATTTTTCATATTTTTGGTCTACTCTCTTTTATATACACTGAGCAAATGTAAGTGTAAAATGATTCAAATGTGAATAACACAAAAACCAACTCTGAGAGTGTGAAAGACAGGGGAAAGCACTAGAACAAGTTCAGAATTTGTGGGAAGCCCTGGACAGGCAGCACGGTGGCTGAGTAGATAGCACTCTCGCTCTCTCAGTAAGAAGGTCCTGGGTTCGAATCCTGGTCGGAACAGGGCCTTTCTGATTGGAGTTTGCATCTCCTCCCCGTGTCTGCGTAGGTTTCCTCTGGGTGCTCCGGTTTACCCTACCAATAAAAAAACATGTACAATAGGTCTGGCATGTGTGACTCTTGTCTGTGAAAGATTACTTACTTACTTTCTTCCCCAGGCCGCTGCTCTCCGGCCCTAACAGACCTGCGCGTGGTCCTGGGCCTTCGTGTGCTCCTGCCCTGTCTGCAGCTCTCCCCCAGGCCCTGCTCCTGGGACCACCCCCCTCACCGCCTTACCCGCCAGCACCACTCTCACCTGGAGCTGACCGTAACCGAGGAGAGCCTGGGTACCTATGTCTGTACCTGCCAGGTAAGCTTCAGCACATTATCGACCTCTAACTATTTATTTGTATTATTGTATAAATGAAAGAAATGTATTGAATGGTAATTTGAATAGCAATAAAACCCAGCTGGATGATAATCAATACATTTGTATTTATAGAGCCCTTTACAACACTCAAGGTGACCAAAGTACTTTACAATAAAATCATATAAAATCCATTAAAACATTCATACAATCAAAAAATAAAACCAATACTTTTAATACGCTAATGAGTGTTAAAAGCCAGTCTGAAGAAATAAGCCAGTCTTGATTTAGAAAGGCCAAAATCAGTAAGCACCTGCGTATCAGGGGGCAACTTGTTCCAGAGTCTGGGTCTAGCGACTGAGAAGGAAAACATTGCAGATCATTTTGTGTAAAAATGACTGATTTTAAAGTTATCGTGACAATATCGTTATCGGGAGTTGGGAATGGTGGGATTATCTTTGATTGTCCACTACAGCCAGATAGCGCGGATCTACCGGTGACATATTTTTTCTAAAAACTAAAATTAACAGCAGCTGATTTATCTAACAATGTATCTAATGTGATTTTAACAAAAAAATCCATCTCTTGAGTGGCGCGGTTAGAACGTTTGCATGTCCATAAGAAGGTCCTTGGTTTGAATCCCGGTCGGAACAGGGTGGAGTTTTACATGTTCTCCCTGTGTCTACTAAAAACATGCACAAGTAAAAATCCTCCATCTCCAGTACTCAAGATCAAGCCAAGCATTAACATTTGGGCATCGGACCCGGTATCACCCCTGTTTCTTAAAGCCTTCTGATGTCCTGTGTCTCCTCAGGAGGCAGGAAACGGAGTCTCAGAGACCACGCCCTGTCGCAGAGCGGCCTATCACCTAACCCTCGATGAGCCCACAGCCGGTGGGGCCGTCGCTCTGGGGGGCGGTCGGCATGTCATGGCCATCTACATCCTGGTGTTTGTGGGTGGGGCGCTGTGTGGAGGTCTGCTGCTGTTCCTGGCCACACGGGGCCCTCGCAATACCAGGTACGACTGCCTCTACATGCATGACTTCAGAAGAACTGGGATCAACGAGCATTCCACATAAAATATTTAATCAATACAAATGTTACAAATCTGAAGAAGAGCTTCTATGTAAACTAGTATGGAGTGGTAAGGGCTCTATTGAAAACAACTTGAGGCACTCTGATTAAAATAAAAGTACTTAATTTGATTTTACTGGAACACCCTACCTGTTTTGACCTTCATTGTATTCATTTGGGAACATACTTACTTACATAATGGTTAAATACACAGCAGGTATTAATTAAGATATGGGTCACATGAAGGCTCTTTGGCTTTAAATGTTCAACTTCAGTCTTTGATGAGCACCTGTTACCTGAAAACCAGTCGATGCACACCCACTTCACTGGTTTCTACAATCAAAGATTTTACTATCTGTCAAAATGTTTCTTTCCAAACCTGTACAACCATTAATTTTGAATTTTGCATGATTCATCCTTCTTTGTGTTAATTCTGGCTTCTTTTGTATTTTTATGTTTGAGAAGGATGAAGGCAAATCTTTTAATTCATTGGTCAATCTACGTTCCCACTCTTACCTACTGTCATAAACCAGCGGTCAAAATTATTTTCCTTCGCAAAGTGGCTCAGCACTTAAATGGAAGGAGCTCAGTGTAGAGCCTGTTGAGGTGGCTCTGGCATTTGTTTTTGATGCCTCCTGGATGACTCCGGGGCATTTCCCACATGGAGGAGGCCAGAGGAAGACCCAAGACACGTTCAGAGGGACTATGTCTCTCAGCTGGCTTGGGAACACCTTGGACTTCCCCCGGAGTAGTTGGATGACGTGTGTGTGTGGATATGGAAGTCTGGGTGTCTCTGCTCAGACAGCTACCCCCATGACAACTTATAAAGTGGAAGAAAATAGAATTGGATGGAATAAACAGGTAAAGATCTTAGAAATTTCAAACTAATTTAGAGGCACAACTTTTTTTTACAAGGCTGAAAACCAAACCGTTTTCTAGTTTGTGGGACAGGTGAAAGATGATGTAAAACTGCAAACAAGCCATGAAGCTGTGTTTTGGTGAGTTAAGCTCTTACTATGAGCTCAGACTTTGGACTGTTGCACATGTTCTGCTTTGCTTTGTTGTTTGAAAATGTTTCTATTGGGGTGGCAGAGGTTAGCACTCCCCCCGTTCAGAACAGAAAATTATGGGCTGCAGTGGGTCTGAGGATTTTTCATTACCAAACAAAATAGAAAAAGGGGCAAATGGCCCCCGAGGATGTGTTTGTGCCTGACGTTCCTTATATTTAAGGAACATTCCATTCCCTTCCATTTTCTTCCGCTTCATCCGTTGCCGGGTCGCGGGGGCAGCAGTCTAAGCAGAGACTCCAAGACTTCCCTATCCACACACACTTCCTCCATCTCGTCCGGGGGGACCCCAAGACGTTCCCAGCCCAGCTGAGAGACATAGTCCCTCCAGCGTGTCCTGGGTCTTCCGGGGGCCTCCTCCCGGTGAGACATGCCCGGAACAGGAGGCATCTTGAACAGATGCCACCTCAACTGGTTCCTCTCAATGTGGAGAAGCAGCGGCTCTACTCCGAGCTCCTCCCTTGTGACCGAGGTCCTCACCCTATCTCTAAGGGAGCGCCCAGCCACTCTGCGGAGGAAGCTAATTTCGACCGCTTGTACCCGCGATCTTGTTCTTTCGGTCATTACCAAAATCTCATGACTATAGGTGAGGGAGGGAACGAAGATTGACCGCCTTGGCGGAGGCCAACATGCACAGGTCTGACTTAACGCAGCTCTGGCTCCGGTCATACAGGGACCGAACGGCCCTCAGTAGAGGACCCCATACTCCCGGAGAACCCCCCCAAAGGACACCCCGGGGAACACGGTCAAACGCCTTCTCCAAATCCACAAAGCACATATGGACTGGTTGGGCAAACTCCCATGAACCCTCGAGTATCCGAGGGAGAGTATAGAGCTGGTCCAGTGTTCCGTGGCTGGGACGAAAACCACACTGCTCCTCCTGGATCCAAGATTTGACCATCGGCTGTAGCCTCCTCTCCAGTACCTTGGAGTAGACCTTACTGGGGAGGCTGAGGAGTGTGATCCCACGATAATTGGAACACACGCTCCGGTCCCCCTTTTTGTAGAGAGGGACCACCACCCCGGTCTGCCACTCCACTGGTACCGCCCCCGAGCGCCACATGATGTTGCAGCTAGACGTGTCAGCCAAGACAGTCCCGCAACATCCAGAGACTTTAGATAGTCAGGACGGATCTCATCCACTCCCTTGGTAACTTCAGCCAGGGAGATGGAAGTATCCGCCCCAACATCCTCATCCTCTGCCTCTGAAACGGAGGACGTGACGGAGGGATTGAGGAGAACCTCAAAGTATTCCTTCCACCTTCCGACAATATCCTCAGTCGAGGTCAGCAGCTCTCCACCGTACACAGTGCTGGCAAAGAACTGCTTATTAATATTCATAATATCACCTCCATCATAGAATAGTAGCTCTAAGCTTACAGTACATTTTTGAGTCCACCAGGTTGCGTCATTATTGCCAGTTCATTGTTCCTTCTGTATAATGACCACCCTGTAACTTGTTTGTATTTACTGTATGCCTGGGCCAAATTGTTCTGTTGTGTTGTGTTTTACAGAAAACTACACACACTCAAATACACACACACACACACACACCTCACCCATGTACGATAAATAAAGTGTTCCGTTTGAAATAAACTCGGAAATACATAAAGGTGACTAGCACAGAAGTCCAACAACTGAACGCCGCTCGGGTTCAGATCAGGGGGGCCGTTCTTCCCAATCACCCCTCTCCAAGTGTCACTGGCGTCTCCCACATGGGCATTGATGTCCCCCAGGAGATTAACTGAGTCCCCGCTTGGTGCACTGTCCAGTAACCCTCCCAGGGACTCCAAGAAGGCCGGGTACTCTGCACTGCTGTTGGGCCCGTAGGCTGTCACAGTGAGAGACTTGTTCCCCACCCGAAGGCGGAGGGACGTGACCCTCTCATTCACAGGGGAGAACTCCAACACGTGGCGGCTGAGATGGGCCCCCCTAGCTCGCCGCCTCTCCCCGCGAGAAACACCAAAAAAGTGGAGCGTCCAACCCCTCTCAAGGAGTTGGGTTCCAGAGCCCAAGCTGTGTGTGGAGGTGAGGCCAACTGTTTGTAGTCGGTATCGCTCAACCTCTTCCACGAGCTCGGGCTCCTTCCACCCCAGTGAGATGACGTTCCACGTCCCAACAGCCAGATGTGGTGTGTGCAGACTGGGTCGTCGAGGTCTCCGCCTTTGACTGCTACCCAGTCCTCTCAGCACCTGACCACCACGGATCCCTCTGTTGGATGGTGGGTCCACAGGAGGGCCCCATGGGCTAAGGCCCGGCCACCAAGCGCATGCTTTCGAGCCCCAACCCCAGGCCTGGCTCCAGGGTGGGACCCCGGCTGCGCTATGCCGGGCGACGTCACTTGTTCTCTTTTAGTGCAATCCATGGTGATTTTTGGACTGTGCTTTGTCTGACTCTTCACCTGAGACCTGTTTGCCATGGGAGACCCTACCATGGGCCTAAAGCTCCAGACAACATAGCTCCCGGGATCATCCGAGTACTCAAACTTACCCACCACGTTAAGGTGGCAGTCCAGGGAGTATTTAAGGAACAATGTTGTAATATAGTTAAAACCCTCAAGCTTTAACATAACTTCTAAGTGTCTTTAAATATGTATACATTTCATGTTTTGACATGTTTCAGCAACTGTTGCAGTATACTAAAGGAATAGTAATTATATGGAGTATTGAGGATTATTATTGATAATATGATTGTTTTTGTCCCAGCTCCAGGCAGCAGCAGCACCTGTCAGAGAAGGGTCGCGAGCTCCTTGGCTCCTCGGCCACGCCGCAGTCCCCTAGCAGCACCAGCCTGTTCTCCGAGGGATTCCACCTCACTGAAAAACACAACGGCACCGCGCCTTCCACCACCACAACCACCACGCTGCTCAGTCACCACAGCAACGGCACGCACCACATTACCAATGGCAATGGCAACGCCATATACGCACACTGCAACAGCAACGATAGCAGGCTCCGGCTGGATTCCGGTCCGTCCCCCACAGCTGAGACTGTTGACTCCAGGGAGAGCGGGGAGCGGGACGGGGCAAAACTAGAGGGCGCCATTATGGACGCGCTGACGGACGGGCTGGACATGGAGCTAAGCATGCCCATGTTTAAACCTAACGCGCCCCTGGCCAAGTGTGAGGAGAGCTCCATATGAACCAGACTCATCTCTATTTATACGAACTGCACTAATGCACCTGACCCACCTGACGGGCTTAAAGCAGGTGTGAAGATGTGGACGGGGCACACAGCGGGTCTGTGGGCGGGGCCAGATGCCATGGGAAAGAGTAGGCCTGTCTCAATAATATGTTTCAAACTACAATATGTATATTGTACATTCTGTTGCATTATATTGCTATAAGATACGTATGGTCACATCAAAAGCCCTGCAGGCACCGCTCTCACTACAGATAAAGTTAGCATTCAAGTGGATTTGTTTTCCTTTGATTAAATATACCTGCGCAACACTGCCAAATCATTAAGGTTTCACAGTTTCGGAAAACAGTGGCTGTGTCAGGTTGTAATGGCGTCTCAGGTGTAAATGACCCAAACTAGCATGAAAGCTCTAAAACCCTTATGAGTGTGTTAATGACAAAGGGAACAATCTATAACATGGTCAAAAGTTGAAAAATGTCAAATGTTGCATGTCATGTCCTCTGATACCAATGGAAAACATTTGGGGGCAGCAACAGCCACAGTCCCAGTGATTTTTCAATAAAAATCTGTACACTTAAAAAAAAAAAAGGCTGACCTTAGCCATTTAGAAATTAAAATGAATTAATTCTCCTCAAAATGTGTCAAGGAGGAGTCGCAGAGGGGAGTTGGGCTCTTTGTGTTGCTGAGCTGCCACAAATACAAAGCAGACAGAACCAGTCATTTATCATAACCAATCATCACCAGTTGAATTATCACAATATTGAAATGATTGCAATCAAATATTACAGATGACAAATATAGAGCTCCAAAATGTGTAGTTATTTATTGAAGCTTGAGTAACTATCGTGACAGGCTCAGTGAAATATTTCTGGAAGACGGTAAAAACAGAGGACATGTTTCAGTATTGTATGGATGGGCTTTCAGAAAGTTTTGAAAAACCTCATTCACTGCACTAAGTTTGTGGCAAAAAATTGTTGCTCGCAAACCAAAGTTCACAAATTTAGTCATATCGTCCTATCATGCCACAAATAATGTCAATAACCAGGATGTATAGGATTTCAATGTCTTTCCGTCTATTTCTGGACTATTGTTCCCTGCTCTGCCAACTTTTTGGTCCAATATTACTTCAATTCAGCTTTAACTGGTGGAACTGTTTGCGACAATCTTATATTGAAAATTGTCGAGTGCGTCTTAAACCTAAAATAAATTAGTCAAAAACGACAGATTAACAAAAATCAAGATTTCAAGTATGAATGAACAAATATAACGCGTTGTTTATGTTGTTATGTTTGTCCCTCAAACGTGCTCTTAAGAATGTTTATGTGCATTAAAGATAAATTAATGATCAGGATTAGTGAAATCCCCCTCTAGTGGTAGAAGTGGGCAATTACATTCTGCCAGAGATGGGGACTCACTTAAGTCACTATTTTAGACTTGCGACTCGACTCTGACTCGTCTCCTAAAGACTCGGACTTGACTCGGACTCGTTGTTTTTGGACTTGTGAACATTGCGAGTCCTGACACTCCAGATCCATCCATTTCACAGGCTGGTAAGGGTTCTACTCCTTCGTTCGTCCAAACAAGACCACGCAAAGCTCTAGTTTCAGTTTCCATTTTCACAGCTGCTGTTAAAATGCAGAATGATGTTGGTGCATTCTGAGGGTCTGGCACTGGAAGTGAGTATACTGCCGAGAGGGGGGATGGGGGGCTGGACACGGGGCTGGGGGTCGTGTGTTGTGTTGTAAAGTTTCTCTGCCCACTACTGGCCGGGCGCTAGAACTACATCGTTTTTCAACCTATGTGAACGCACATTAGGAGCCAGGTCGTTTCTGTTAATAGCCTGGAAACGTCTGCGCAGCATCTCAGTATAAACAGGGCCATAATGTTCCCAGGACCATACACGCGCACAGGACCCATCTCTGCTTGTTGTGTGCGTGTCTTTATACACCTCTGCAATAAACAGAGCTGGATGATAGATCCTCCTGAATCTCTCCCCGTGTCTCCTCCTAAACTCGCTAAATTAAATTATGTTTTAAATGTCCCTCATCCCTGTAACAGACAATAGTTTTGGTCCTGTGCCCTCACTGTAGTGACATGTTTGTTACTGTCTTGCAACGTAGACTATTGCACTTTATTTTAATTGTTGAAACTGCATACATCCTCTACAGTGTGTGCTTCTGCATAACGTATAAATAAACATTTTTTGGTCCCAGTCCAGCCCTGGTATGGCCTGCAGGCGGAAATGTTTAAGGCTGGAAAAATGCCCTCTAAAAAACAATACAATTAATTCATATATTTTAGTCCATTTTAAATTGTATTGGCCATAATTTTAATGCGTAGGAAATGAGACTTGGACTTGCGGGTCCAGGGACTTGGACTTGAATTGGACTCATGGGCTAGGGACTTGGACTTGACTTGAGCTTGCGGGTCAGAGAGTTGTGTGCATCTATGCATTCTGCTGTAAAATTTCACATGCAGCAATGTTACTGAAGCACAGTGACATAGCAAGTACTGCTTTCTCACATGTAACTGTTGAAAAAAACCAAGAATGCTGAGGCAGTACTTTTGTTTAAAATGTCTTAAAACAGAGAATTTAGAAAAAATGAAGAGAGCTAAAACAAACTGCAGGTCTGTTTTTGTTGAACAACATTGCACATGTTGAACAAAAAATACAAATGTGATATGATTATATATGTGCATACTGTATGTGTCCTTTTATACAGCAACATTTTTGTACTGTGGAACTCTTGTGTAACAGTTCCGCTAAATCTTTCGCATTTAATAATACGGGCATATTCGAGTTGCCAAACAACCACTTTAGCCTGGTTGTATTTGTGGCATGATAGAATAAGCAACATCCCAGGTAGTTTTGTTATGGTCCTCATTCTGTGGAAGTGTCATAAGGCCCCAAAGCCAAATTAAAGTTTGTGTTTCTGTTTGTGAGGCACCAGATCTTCTCAAACTGCGGAAACCAAATGTGGATTCATGTGCTTTACCCTTTTTATAATAAAGATTAAAATATGGGCTTTTGCTTTGTGTCTTTTGCTTGAAAAAAAATAGCTAATATTGTGTTCTCAAATCATTTTGGCCTTAACATGATCTTGAGAATACTGACTACACTGACTTTTCTTTTCTTCTGTCTGGAGCGGAAAACACATGGATCAAGAAAATATCCAGATTAGTAAAAAATGGAGTGATAGTGACGGAAAAATAATATCGACAGAGAGCAATTCTGCCCATGACATCTAAGTTTGAGGATTCATCATAGTGTAACAAGTTTGAAAACTGAACATTTTGACAGAGGTGTTCAGGAGGTTCTAGGAAGGGCACCTTCAGGAATTCCAAACAAAGCAAAGTGATAAGCGGGGATGACTGGTATTAATGGGCTAGGTGGGCTAAGCGCAGGTCAGTGTGCATGTCTGGTTGAATGCTGCCGTGAATTGGCTGATCCACGTGTCCTATTTTAGCTATGTTAAAAGCACTTGGAGTCTGATACAGAAAGTGACATTTGGTCTGTATGCGTGTTTTAGCTGCTTACCTCTGTTTCCTCGAGGAGAGCTGTTACCTGCTACCAGTGCGGCCCGGCTATGTCGATCAGCTATGTGCGGCTTGTTCTTTACTGATTAATTTGCACTGCTTATATATATATATATACATATATATATATATATTACACAGTGTGTTGCCCTTGGTTTTTCACCATGCACCATACAAATAAAGATTACTTATTACTAATGTGAATGAATGAGAGTAATCACTTTTAGGAATTTGTACTTTATACTTAAACCTTTATATCAAGATAAATTCTACAAATTTAAAATAACTGCAGCATTTTTTTCAAATAAACTCACTATCACTTTGAAAGTGTGCTCCAATTGAAAATGTTTTTATGAGTCGTCTCCTCTCTACTGTGGACCTGTGCTGTGAGTATCCGCGAGGTCAGAGCCCAGCCAAAACATCACCAGGTTTCACTGTTAATTAGATCAAATTTCAACTGAGGAATTATACTGTTACAGCCATACCTAATCCCTCTTTTCTTTATAGGCAAACTATAATCAATAATCCTAATCACTTTTAACACAGATTCTAATTTAAATGTTTTGAACGATGGCTTTTTTATTTTAAATGAAAAGCTAAATACAAAAAAATATTCTCACAAACAATTAAGAAATATATCAGCGATTTAAATCAAGATCTAAGCAGCAGATTTAAAAAGAAAGGCAACGCTTTGTCACGTGGTTGCATGAAGAAAAAGGGAACCCAAAATGCAGGACTGAAAATCAAATGTAAATTTAATAAAAATCGAAATCCAGAGAGACAAAGGCACAAAAATCCAGAACTGAAAAACTAGACAAGACAAACTTGGTAGAGACAATGGACGGACAACAAGTGGGGAAAAGCACAGGGTATATATACACACACAGGAGACACAGGTGGATCACATTAGGGCGAGGCTAACAATCAAAATCAGGAAAACTCAAAATACAAGAGAACTAAAAGTAAATAAAACCAGGTAAAAATAATCCAAAAAGTCCACACCATGACAGTATCCCCCCTCAAAAGGACAGCTCCCAGATGTCCCAAGACGCAGGAGCCCAGGAGGGTGTTGGGGGGGCGGGGGTCCGGAGAAGGAAAAAAAAAAAAAAGACGGTGAATATTACTGGAAGTCCACGGTGGCACATTTCAAATGAATTGTCCCTGACAAAACGAGAGACGAAGGTACAGAAAAGTCCAACAGTGACCAGACCAGGTGGGTGGAAAACTGGGGGCCAGTGACGACCTCCAACAGGACGGGGGAACAGAAGACCACCCCGGACGGAGCATGATGCCCGGCGGTGGCCCAGACACAGAAACCGAAGATTACCACCCCAGACGGAACACTTGTCTGGCGATGGTTTCAGGCGAGGCAAAACTGAGGTCGTCAATGGGCAGCAGGCGTAGTAATCAAAACAAAAATCTGTACTTTAAGACAATGTTCAGGGTGGTGTAGCGAGAGCCAGG